CAGACAACAGAGGATGACTCAGCAACAACAAAGGAGTATGTTGACAGAAAGGATGGAAATGGGAAAGTCAAAAAAATGAAGAATATCATCCCGAGCTCATCAACCACTCCACCAGAAGCCATACTTCATGCTTTTCCTATTACGAAAGTCCAACCAACAAACTGATTGTCATTGAGGATCTCTTCATAGTCGGTCAAGAAACAAGTGGTAACAGAAGACGTTTCCATGTACCGTATCGAGATGTGTTAGGAGAAAAAGCAATAATCCGGTACATTACTGAACATGATAATAACAACGGCATACCTGACCTTCATCAACAACACACTGACATTACCAACTGTGAGTGGATACAATCTCATTGATGAATGGGAGCTGGTTTATCATGAGTACTGAAAATCTTAACTATATGTAGATAAAAAATGGAAATACCTCATTTGCTAATACTGTTGACCATGCTACCATTTGCTCTTGGTTGTATTCGTGATCCGTTGGATAAGGATGGGCCCTGCTTGACAACACAACCTCCTACTGTCATCCAAAGTGAAACACCGGCCCCGGTTGACATCCCTAGTGAAACGTCACCACCAACAGACCATATCACTACACAACCACCTTACGATCAGACGAAACCAGGAAACGAGGAAAGCCCTCATTTGACAGACCCCAAACTTTATCTTTTATCTCTGATTACTATTCCTATAGTTGGTGCTGTTGTATATCTCATAAAACGTTCTAGCTGTTCGATGAGAGTTGACCCTGAAAATGACCCAAGAAACTTACAACAGTCTAGGTTATATTTTGATCCGATATCATTACCAGATGTGCTTGGTGTGGACAATCTACCAAGATTACCCTCCACCTATGATGTAACTGGTATGGACTGATGGGAAAAAGGAAAACGGTTTATGATAAAACTGAGCAAATTATGATCTTGATAGGAATTGCTTTTCTAGCTCATTGTGTCAAAGTGAATGGGTTGGTAATAAACAAATGTTGGGAAGAAAATTCATTCTGGATTTGTGTTCCGCTTACACATCTTAGTCCACCTGTTAATGTACCAGCAGCATCTGTCACACCGACAACACAGACAATACCGACAACACCGGAAACATCGGGAATTCCATCGAGAACATCGGGAACATCGGGAATTCCATCGAGAACATCGGGAACATCAGGAATTACATCGGGAATTACATCGGGAACATCAAACAACTTGATATACCTCCTTTTCCTTCTTCTTCTTCTCATCCCCATTACTGCTGGTGTATTTCACAGACAAATAAAAAAATATATCACAGAAAGAAAGATGAAGACCTTCACACTTTCGAAACCACCCACATCATGTAAAGATGATCGGGTGAAAAATACGTCTTACATTCCCACAAAAGAAACCCTTGCTGAGGTGAGAGCAGCACTCAACTCAGGATGGAAACCCCCTATTACAAAAAAAGCTGATGAAAAACAAGAAAAGATATGTGGAAATGATCCATCCCTTAGCAAAACTAAAACAGGAAACAGTTGTGTATGCTGAAAATATATCACGAGAGCTAGAAGATGGGAAATATATTGTTGATGATGAGATGGAAAATGTGTATGAGTTACCGATTGATGGTGGTGAATCCTCATCCAGACCTGAGCCACCCGAAGTATTAGTTGGCTCAGAAAAACGATCCCACTTCAGTCCTCGAATTGAGTCAAGATTGGGTAAGTGAAAAAGCTGAAGTTGGCTCACTTCCGATTTCTCGGAGGGAGCAAGTTGGCTCACTTTTCTGGGATGGGGTTGAGCCAACATTGGATCAGTGGTCGGAGGTGTAAAATTAGTACTTGGATCTCACACACACATTTCTTACCATAAAGAATAAGAAGTGTACTGAAGGGTTAGAACTATAGCGTAGGAGAGGGGAACTGTATGGCAGACCTATCTCCTGATAAGAGTCACACAGAGTCATTATCTCACACGTTCCCCTAGTAGTATAGGGGGAGGGGGAGACTTGGGAGAGAGGCCCGAAGGGCCGATCGAGAAAGTCGATTTTGGCTCACCGCCAGGTGAGCCAAAAACCCCTCCCCCTATACTACTGTTCGAGCACTAAATGCCGAAAAACGGGGAAAAGCGGGGATGCTCAAAGCACTATCTATGGAGAAACGAGCATTAATTTCACAGGCCTAATGCTAGCTTGCCCCCTACATTACAATTATGGTTATAAAGCTTACATTGCCGAAACAGCTTGCTGTCTGCAGCATTGGGTACTACGCTCTTGGCATTCGTCTTGTCGAGCACTCTCGACAGGCTGCTTTAGTGCTGCTGCGTCATCGCTCGCTACTTTTTCGTATTAAAGAGAACTCTGGCTCTAGAGTGAGGAGCTATATTAATGTCTGTGATGCCACCTTGTGCCATAGCCGGTAGTTCGACTTACTTGAAACTCGTAGCTGTACTGATGAGGCCTAGATGGATGATACAGCATAATGTGGTTGCATCCTCATGTTCATGTACATGCAAGTGGCCATCTGTGAGTATGAGGTGATGTCACAATAGGGTATTTAAGTCAATATCGAACACCATGGAGAAAGAAGAAAAAGCCAGGGGGGGGGGGGGTCGAACCCATGAGGGTCGGAAAGTCATACAGCATTGGGTATTATGCTCCTTGTCTTGTTGAGCACTCTCGGTAGGCTGCTTTAGTGTTGCTGCATTATGCATCTCTTGCTCCTTTTCGTTGTTAGAGCACTCTGGCGCTAGAGCGAGGAGCTATCTTATGTCTGTGGTGCCACCTTTGCGCCATGGCCGGTAGTTCATCTTACTTGCTGGTAGCTGTACTGGCCTAGACCTAGATAGCTGAAACAGCTTGCTGTCTACAGCATTACATGTAGGTGGTTGTGTCCTCATGTACATGTACATGTAAGTTGCTATCTGTAAGACTTATCCGGACCCCGAAGTTACGAGTTCTACCGGGCACCCATTGGCGAGGTTCAGTGGAAATATGACTGCTCTTGTCCCTTTTTTGTTGGAATAGTGACATCACATGCAATATCCTATGGCCTTCCCGGTCAAAATGTATGTGGTTCAGAGTTACGGACATTTTTGAAGTTATGGGCAGTGCCCGGTCTCGGATCGCCCGGATAAATGTGGTATGAGTGTATGGAGTGACACCACATTAGGGTGTTTCAGTCACAAACACCATGGAAAAAGAAGAAAAAGGCTGCGGACAAGGGGGGGGGGGGTTGGAACCCAGGAGGAGCAGAAATTCATACAGCGCTGGATAATATGCTCCTTGGTACTAGTATTTATCTTATTGAGGACTCTCAGTAAGCTGCTGCTTTAGTGCTGCTGCATTTTGCATCGCTCACTATTTGTCGTAGTTAGAGCCCTCTGGTGATAGAGCAACGAGCTTACTTAAAGGGGAAGTATCCCCTATAATCAAATTTTCACCAGTTGTAGTCTTCGGGGTGCTGAGTCGATTGGTCTTGGTCCGAGGAAGCTGAGACACTCCCTCCTTTACTCCCAATCGAACTAGCGCATTTTCACCGAAACTGGGTGACTGCGCCCTACTAGATTGGAATTTGTATGCAAAAGTCACTAAAAGCGCCATTTCGTTCTTATAAAAGCACTGATGACAGCGATTGGTCCATATGTTGTATAGTCTTTTGGACGCTGAGTCCACTGGTTTTGGTCTGAAAAGGCTGCAATGCAGCGTTCGGTCCTTATTCCCAATCGAACACGGACGAGTAAGTGGTTAGATGCTCATGCGCACACCAGCCGCCTGGTCAGCGTGCCTGCAGGCTACAACTTTCACACCAAGGCTCAACTCAAAGGTTCAACTCGTGTCATGAATGTCACCACATCATGAAGACTACTTCACATCAATTTGAAGTTGCAAGTATAGACTCCCGCATTGCATGATCATATCGTAATTAATTAACAGACAGTCCAACTTGCCATAACATTTTATTATCATATTCCAAATACATTTGAGTTGGGACTTACGATGTCCAACGACGACTCTGATTACCCAGCTGATGGCACGCGTACATTGTGAATCCGAGTATTCCCAATGTTGCCTCCATCTCATCATATAATTATACTCTCCTGCATGTTTGTCTCTGCTGCTCATCACAAAATACTTAAATCTGAACTTATTTTCTTCTTCTCTGAATGCACTCGTTGCTGCCGAGATTTGTTTCCTTGTAGTTGCATCATTGCATTCCGCATGATCCACGCTTGCATGATACAGCCCGGCTGCACACCCGCGCGCAAGCCCCATGTTCTGCATGTCACGTGCTGGTGACTGCATTTTCGGCAGTGCGCTGCGCTACGTTTATTATGCATTATGATTTCCGTCAGGCGGGCTGCGCGCTTGGCGGGCCAGGGTGTTTTGGCGAGGGGTTGTTGTTGTTGTTGGCAAAAGTTTTTGATTATGGTTGAAGGTGAAGTTTTTAGAAAGGAAACTGTGGTATGAGAATGAGTCTGATGAGTCTGTCTTCCCCTACCGTTCTCGACATGGTGCTGTAGAGACCAGGATTTGGAACCAACGCGTCCAACAACTTTCGTTTTTTTTTACGATGGATGGAGAGGTTGAACAAACAACAACGAACGATGGAGAGGAGTCCTTGGATCAGACGACTGAGAAGCAAAGCACGTCTCACGTCCTGGACCAAGTGGTTTACAACGACCTAGTCAAGAAGCGAGGCAGGGCCAAGGGAAGGGTAACGCGAGTAAGGAGGAGGATCGAACATGAACTCCGTAAAACGGAGGAGAAATTCGTTAGTCTGTTGTCAGTTCAGAGTGATGTTGAGAAAATCCTACCCTTGATTGACACAGTGAACGACCTGTCCGAGCAGATTGGTACCCTGCTGGAGAACTGCGAGGCAGACGAGCGTGTGGAAGACGCACTAATTGATTTGGAAACCTGGGATGATGGCTTTGACCAGGAATGCACAAGTGTGTCGGACCGCGGCACGTGCACTACTCGACTATAGAGGGGTACACGGGTTCACCAGTGGTGACCATGGTGGCGGAGCTTGCTGCAGAGGCAGCAACACCCCAGAAGGCCACACGGGACAACACAACACAGGAGGTAGTGGTCGTGGACAGTGATGGGACGGACAGGCCCACGGGCGAACTGCTGGAATCAAAGGAATTGCCGGCAACAGGCACGGGCGACACGGAATCTGCTGCAGGCAGACTGGACAGCCCTAGCACGGCTGTGGAGGCAAGGCGTAGCACAATGTCCACAGGCACGGACATCAGTGCTACTACTCAGAACCCTGTGGCTCAGGCTCAGCATACGGATACAACACAGGCCCAGCCAACTGTCCCGACACCAACCAATTCCCCGGACATGATACAGGCCATGGCATTAGCGGCAGCCCACGCTGCAACCGCGGCAGCTGGCCTCAGTACTGCCCCACAGCCATCACGCCTCAACGTCCAGCTGCCAAACCTGACTCTACCGTCCTTTTCTGGCAAGGTGATTGAGTGGCCAGAGTTTTGGGAGCGATTCCAGTCTTCCATCGACAACCAGCCCATTGCGGATGTCAGCAAGTTCTCATACCTGAAATCTTGCCTTTCCGGCGATGCGGCGAAGGCCATAGCGGGCATCTCGTTGACAAGTGCAAACTATACCACCGTCAAGGATCTGTTGAAGACGAAGTATGGCTCAGCGGAGATCATCATTGCATCCCTGTACAGCCGTTTGGAAGCACTACCGGCACCACCCAACAGGCCCATGGAGATCCATCGAAGTTTCGAGACTGTGGAGTGTCTCCTTCGACAGCTGGAAACACAGGGAGAGAAGTTGGCAGATCAACGTCTCCTGTGCCAAAAGCTGTGGGGCAAGGTTCCACTCGAGGTTGCCACCAAGTTTGAGGAGTGGCGTGGTATCAGCAACGCCGGCCAGCCCTGGAAACTAACCACTCTACGAGAGTATATGGCCAAGTACACAACTCTACAAGAGCAACTCCGCCAGCGGACTGGCCAAGGCCCTCCGAACAAACCTGACGCTGTTGGAGTGCAGACAAAGCAACTCTTTAGCACAGCGGATGCACTGGCAGCTCACCCTGATACCCAAGGACGACCACAACGTTCCCGTCGTGGTTGCATATTCTGCGATGGCCAACATATGGACCACGATTGCTCACGCTACACATCTTCTGCTGCCAGGAAACAACGATTAATGGAGCTACGTCGTTGCTTCATTTGCTTGGGTTCCGGTCACCGCAGCCAGGAATGTTACCGACGGCAAACACAGACCTGCCGGATGTGCAAGCGCCCAAGTCACCATCACCATACCATCTGCTCGCAGAGTCGCCAGCCATCTGGTGTAGGTTCGCATTCCACCCGACGAGCTGACGGTTCATCTTCCACAGCAGCGGTGGCAGCTTCTGACACTACAACCGCTACGTGCACACCCACTCAGGTTCCAGGTCAGGCAGTTGCTTCGGACCAGTCATCATGTCTCCTGCAAGCAACAGGATCAACTGTCACACTCCAAACCGCCACAACGAATGTGCAAGGCAACAATGGTACAATCACCACCGCTCGCGTTCTTCTTGATTCAGGCAGCCATCGCACGTACTTCACGGAGGCTTTGGCAAGGCAGCTCTCCCTGCCCCATACTCGCCATGAATGGCTGTCAACCTTTGGTGCCACCAAACACCACACAGCACAGGTACCGATCTCCGACCTGTTCATTCATCTCAAGGATGGTACAACGAAGGCCATCGAAGGCAGCGTCTTACCGCACATCACAAACCCGGTTCTCCGTCCTGCGGTTGCACACCCCGACATCACGACCTTGCAGCAACTGCAACACGACAACCAGTTAGCTGATGCGATCAACGCCGAAGATGAACGGCTCAAGATCGACATACTCATTGGGTCTGATTATCTGTGGGACTTCGTGCAGGGCCATGTGCAACCTCTACCATCAGGCCTCAACCTTCTGCCAACCTCCCTCGGCTACGTGGTCACCGGCAAGACGAACACCTCTCCCACCACTGCCCTACCGGCAGCCACTCTGATCGCAGCCGCAGCCGACGTTTCACACGAGGAGGTTCTGCCTCTTAAGCAGTCCATTCCGGATTTGTGGAGCCTCGAAACGCTTGGGATAGAGCACCCGTCTCCCGTGAAAGACGATGACGTAGCCATGCAGCATTTCCACTCAACAGTGGAGTACACCGATAATCGCTACATCGTTCGCTGGCCATGGAACGACCAGCAGCAGTTTCTCCCGGACAACTACGGACTGACGTAGGGCCGGTTCCGGACTCTATCGCGGCGGCTAAGCACCGACTCGTCACTACTTGAGCAGTATGACAAGGTGATCCAGCAGCAAGCCGACTTGGGCATCATTGAGCAGATGACACCGGATTCTGTCACTGGTCCGCAACTCCATTATCTACCCCACCAGCAAGTTCTAACTCCAACGAAGACGACGACCAAGTTGCGTGTCGTTTATGATGCCTCGGCCAAGGCACGGCGTCACAACAAGAGCTTGAACAACTGTCTGCTACGTGGACCCGTGTTGCTCCCCAACCTTGCCGGAGTTCTTATGCGACTCCGCATCACACCCATTCTGCTGGTAGCCGATATCGAGAAGGCATTCTTGCAACTTGACATCTGGCCGCCAGACCGGGACGTGACACGCTTCCTATGGTATCGCGATCCAACTAATCCCACAGTAACTCCGGACAACATCGCGGTCTATCGGTTTCGGAGAGTACCGTTCGGCATCGTGAGCAGTCCATTTCTGCTAGCGGCAACAATCCAACACCATCTAGCAAATGATGAAGATGCGGATGTCAGTCGCTTGGTGTCCCGCAATATCTACGTGGATAACGTATTCATCGGTGTTGACACCCCGGAAGAAGGGTACGATATGTGCAACCGAACTACATCCGTATTCTCTCGCTCGTCCATGCGGCTACGTGAGTGGGCATCTAACAACAGCCACGCTACGACAGCTATGGATGCCAAGGAAAGGGCACAGGGCGACAGTGTCAACGTTCTTGGAATCACGTGGCACACCAAGGATGACAGTCTACAGCTCGCTTGTTCTCGAACCCAACCCAGCACCGACCCGGTTTGGACTAAGCGCGCTGTCCTGAAGTATGCTGCATCATTGTACGATCCATTGGGACTGGTTGCTCCGGTCACATTTCGTATCAAGGTCTTCTTACGCTCTCTGTGGCAAGCTGGTATGGACTGGGACACTGTCTTGACTGGACACCTAGTGGACACCTGGCTGACCCTCCATGCAGCCTCGAGCGAGGTCAGCTCGTTATCGTTCCCCAGGCAAATCAACCCAATTGCTAATGGAACCGATGCTACCTACCAGCTACACGTCTTCACCGATGCGTCACAACTGGGCTTTGCAACTGTGGTCTACCTCCGCACAACCATAGCCATGATGACAACCTGTGAGCTCCTCTTCGCCAAGACACGTCTTGCACCGCTGAAGTCCAAGGACGGCAAGCCTAACGGTCTCACCCTGCCACGGCTGGAACTACTTGGCGTTACGATTGGTTCACGGGCAGCCCGATTCTGCAAAGATGAACTCGATCTCCCACTTACCAGCATCACCCTATGGACGGACGCGCGTTGTGTTCTGCATTGGATCAAATCATCCAAGCCACTGTCCGTATTCGTGGCCAACCGTGTGTCAGAGATTCGTACTTGCGGCGAGTTCTTGTCCTTCCGCCATGTTCCTGGAGAGAGCAACCCTGCTGATGTTGCTAGCCGAGGCGGTTTGGTGACCGATCTTCAGGAGTCATGGTGGCACAGTCCGGACTGCACATCAGATCACTGGCCAGACGAGGACCTCACACTCTCAGCTGACGAATCCGACCTAGCCAGCAAGGAGGAGCAAGCACCAACGCTTCATACCGCAAGCATGGTGACTAGTGGCAGCGATCGTGCTACTGACCAACCTAGTCCACATACCATTCCATCTGGTCTCGGCAGCGTGCTTACGAGAGCAAGCAGTTTGAGGAAGGTCCTGAGAATCACTGCTCTGTGCATGAAGTTCCTGAAGAAACTGCGTCCCAACTCACCACGTCTCTCTCAGATCAGCAACAGCTACGACATCGTGTCACAAGACATACAGGCTGCGCGAGATTGGTGGACTCTAAGTACAACGCGAGGCCTTCCCTGACATCTTCAAAGCTATCAAGACCAATGCCAAGCACAGTTCAGTTGCTAACCTTGGTGTTGTGATCGACGACAACGGCATACTTCGATGCGCCGGAAGACTGAGCAACGCTGAACTACCAACTTACCAGAAACTACCGAAGCTGCTACCAACGTATCACGCGTTCACGAAGCATGTCATCAGCGAAGTCCATGGACGGCTTCTGCATGCAGGTGTTCGACACACCCTGTCCCAGACAAGGCAAGAGTTCTGGATCATACGTGGCCGTGCTATCGTTCGCCGTATCCTGGATCAGTGCTCGGTTTGCCGAAGACACGAAGGGCGTCCGTTCAAGTTGCCGTCCATGCCCCCATGGCCCAAGGAACGGATTACCAGAGCACTTCCATTCACGTACGTTGGTCTTGACTACCTCGGACCGCTATTGATCCGCACCGGCACGGAGAAAGGCAAGGTATGGATCAACCTGGTAACCTGCCTAACCACACGAGCTGTACACCTGGACATAGTCTCTGGCCTATCTGCAGCAGCCTTCTTGAACAGCATGAGACGGTTCGCGGCGAGACGAGGCAAGCCAAAGTCTATTGCGTGTGACAACGCACCCCAGTTCAAGTTGGTACGCTCTGTCCTGGACGATCATCTGAAGCTGATTCTTGCCAACCCAGACCTGCTGTCGTATCTCTCAACGGAGAATATCGAATGGAGCTTCACAACAGAGTTTGCGCCATGGAAGGGCGGTGTGTACGAGAGGCTGGTGAGCATTGTCAAGAGAGCCTTGAGGAAGAGTCTTGGAAGGTGCCTCCTGACTCTAGACCAGCTCGCAACCCTGACAACCGAAGTGGAAGGCATGATCAATACGAGGCCACTCACATATGTTGACAACGACGAGGTGTCCTCATTCTCACCCCTGACACCGTCACATTTCCTCTGTGGAGGAGGAACGGCAACCGGTTTTCAGACGGACAGCGACGAGGAGGACGGTCCGGAGACACCAGCAGCCAAGGTCACGAGGATGTGGAAACGGCAACAGATACAACTGGATGTAGCTTGGAACGTGTGGGAAGATGAATACCTCCCTGCTCTGCGCGAAGCATCAATGAGTCAACACCGACAGTCACGGAGTAGCATCCCTCGGACACCAACAGTTGGAGAAGTGGTCGTAATCCAAGAGACCGGCCAGCCACGTGGAAGTTGGAGACTCGGCAGAGTGGTAGAAATCTTACCTGGAGTCGATGGCCAAGTCAGAGCTGTCAAGCTGAAGACGGCTAAATCGAAGGCAGTGTTGTCGAGACCGATCAGCAAGCTCTATCCGCTCGAGCTGCACGTTGTGGATGACGTCGGAGCAGTGGAGGCTGGTGATATGGAACACTGCCCGGCACCGGCAACGGCTATGGAACAGGCAATGGCGGACGAAGCTGCCCCAACCATGTTCCAGCCTAGGCGGGCAAATGGCAAAGCAGCAGAGAAGGCCCGTGAGCGTATCGCAGAGTGGGTAAGATAACTTTCGTTGTCGGGAATGTCATGAATGTCACCACATCATGAAGACTACTTCACATCAATTTGAAGTTGCAAGTATAGACTCCTGCATTGCATGATCATATCGTAATTAATTAACAGACAGTCCAACTTGCCATAACATTTTATTATCATATTCCAAATACATTTGAGTTGGGACTTACGATGTCCAACGACGACTCTGATTACCCAGCTGATGGCATGCGTACATTGTGAATCCGAGTATTCCCAATGTCGCCTCCATCTCATCATATAATTATACTCTCCTGCATGTTTGTCTCTGCTGCTCATCACAAAATACTTAAATCTGAACTTATTTTCTTCTTCTCTGAATGCACTCGTTGCTGCCGAGATTTGTTTCCTTGTAGTTGCATCATTGCATTCCGCATGATCCACGCTTGCATGATACAGCCCGGCTGCACACCCGCGCGCAAGCCCCATGTTCTGCATGTCACGTGCTGGTGACTGCATTTTTGGCAGTGCGCTGCGCTACGTTTATAATATGCATATGATTTCCGTCAGGCGGGCTGCGCGCTTGGCGGGCCAGGGTGTTTTGGCGAGGGGTTGTTGTTGTTGTTGGCAAAAGTTTTTGATTATGGTTGAAGGTGAAGTTTTTAGAAAGGAAACTGTGGTATGAGAATGAGTCTGATGAGTCTGTCTTCCCCTACCGTTCTCGACAACTCGAGTGATAGGAAAATTTGTAACCTAAAGGCACGGTGACCAGGTGACTGGTGTACGCATGAGTACGTGACCGCTTACTCGCCCGTGTTTGATTGGGAATAAGGGCCGAACGCTGCATCGCAGCCTTTTCGGACCAAAACCAGTTGACTCAGCGTCAAAAAGATTACAACACATGGACCAATTGCGGTCATCCGTGCTTTTATCAGAACGAAACGGCACTTTCAGTGACTTTTTGCGTACAAATCCCCATCTAGTAGGGCGCAATCACTGAGCTTCGGTGGAAGTGCGCGAGTTCGATTGGGAATAAAGGAGGAATGGAGCGTCTTAGCTTACTCGGACCATGACCATTCGACTCAGCGCCACGAAGACTACAACTGCTGAAATTTTGATTTTAGGGTATAATTCCCCTTTAAAGCTCGTAGCTGCACTGATGAGGCCTAGATGGCCGAAACAGCTCGCTATCTACAGCATTTGGGTATGAATATCCGTGGCATTTGTCTTGTTGAGCGCCCTCAGTAGGCTGCTTCAGTATTGATGCTACCTTTGTGCCATGGCCGTTAGTTCAGCGTACACAGAGGGGAAGTTAAGCCCACTATCAAATTTCCACCAATTGTAGTCTTCGGGGTGCTGAGTCGAATGGTCTTGATCCGAGGAGGCTGAGACGCTCCCTCCCTCCTTTATTCCCGATCGAACTCGCCACTTCCACCGAAACTGGGTGACTGCGCCCTACTAGAGGGGGATTTGTATACAAAATGTCACTAAAAGCGCCGTTTCCTTCTTGTAAAGCACAGGTGACCATGATTGGTCCATATGTGGTAGTCTTTTGCACACTGAGTCGACTGGTTTCGGTCCGAGAAGGCTGCGATGTAGCGTTTGGCCATGCGTGGTTAAATAAGTGGTCAGTTGCTCATGCGTACACCAGTCACCTGGTTACCATGTCTGCACGGTACAACGTACAGCCGGTTTAGGCATGTTCCTGTCACTCGAGTTTAATTTGAGTTGAGCCTCGGTGTTGTAGCCTGAAGGCACGTGGACCAGGTGACTGGTGTACACATGAGCACGTGACTGCTTATTTAACCATGCATTGCAGAACGTTGCATTGCAGTCTTCTCAGACTAAAGCAATCGACTCAGCGTGCAAAAGACTACAACATATGGGCCGATTGCGGTCATCCGTGCTCTTATAAGAACGAAATGGTGCTTTTAGTGATATTTTGCATACAAATCCCCATCTAGTAGGGCGCAGTCACCCAGTTTCGGTGGAAGTGGCGAGTTCGATCGGGAATAAAGAAGGGAGGGAGCATCTCAGCCTCCTCAGACCAAGACCATTCGACTCGGCATCCCGATGATGAGGCCTAGATGGCTGAAACGGCTTGTTGTCTACAGCATTAGGTCATTAGGTGGTTGAATCTTCATGCCCATGTACATGTATGTGGCTATCTGTGAGTATGGGGCTCGAACCCAGGAGGGGCGGAAACATTTCCACTCTTGGCCTGCGCAGGAGGGTGCTCAGAAGACCAGTTTGTGACTCGGTGTCGAGTTAATTGTGTCTCATGCAATCTCTGTAGTACCGCAGACAGATCCTTTCAATTATCACTCTGTTTTTTTTCTTCTTCTTCAATATTCACTTTCGATCAGGTTACCATATTTTCCGGGGTGTTAGCTGCACTTTAAAACGCACTGACTGCTGGATGTGAATCGAGCAGCACTACCGTACTTCATGCACATAATGCCTGCATGGTGTCATTCGACTACTTTTCAAGTACTGCAATCCATTATTGTGCTACTGTCGTAGACATGGAAATCCGGTCGCAAGTCTAGCGGCCCCAGGGCACTGGCCATGCAGCCGTGGACATGGAAATCCGGTCGCAAGTCTAGCGGCCCCAGGGCACTGGCCATGCAGCCGTGGATAACGGGTATACATACATGTATGCATTTATGCGCTGCAGCGCGCTGGTCGCATCGGATCAACATGTGCACTGCACGCAGCGTTCTGTACGCGCTGAGAGCGCCTGCCCCAGTCAATCGACTGGATTTCCATGTCCGCTACAGTAGTTCTTGGGTGCTAGCTGTACTCAAAATTTACACCTGCGGCTTAAGCTCCGAATGCTAGATGTGAATCGACCAGCACTCCATGAGCACAATGCATGTATGGCGTCGTTCGACTACTTTTCATGCACTGTAATCCATCAATGCATCATTGTACTTGTGCGAAGCTTCTACATGTTAGTTCTGAGTGAAGGACAAACTAGGCAACTTTTTGGTCATTGGTAATGTACGAAAACCCATTTAGTTAGTTTGCGAAAATAGTTCAAAGTCTGATGTGCAGCTTATACACCGAATGTGCTCATCGCAATTAAATTAGTGTTAACACAAGCATCTGCATGCCGCACTCACACAACGAGCAACCAGTTTGGGGAATAGGAGGGTTTGTCAATTGCTTTGCCAGGCTCCGAGTGAGTGACAGATTAGAGCTGTGTGAATGTGTGTGTATGGCAGCTGGGCAGGGCCCTGCTGCGGAGGCTGAGTGAGCCGTATGGAGGCAGCCGGGCAGGGCCCGGCTGCGGAGGCTGAGTGAGCCGTATTGAGAGGCTGAGTGAGCCGAGGCTGAGTGAGCCGTCTGAGTGTGAGAGGCTGAATGAGCCGTATGAGGAGCCTGGTAAGCAAGGTTGACTCCCCAAATAGAGAACCTCCTATTCACTGTTAACTGTAGAGGGGGTGCCACAGATTGTGGACTATAGTAGAGTGATATTGAGTTACTGAGTGTACAGTCGGTACATAGGTGGCATTCGGTTATGCTCTGGCACCCACAATAAGTGGGCTCAGTCTGTCTGATCAGCGCTTACCCAGGACCGGTGCTGCCAGCTTTCATGGCAGTTTGCATGTGGGCTTCCGTCACTCGGCTGTGCAAGGCACGGCCGAAGTCTCCCCAGGAATGGACGGAAGAGCACGCACGGGAGTGGGCATGTGAGCGGCGGTAGGGTGGCACGAATGGAATCGCTTGAAATCTTGCCTGGAGAGAGCGTCAGCAAGGATGTTGGTAGTTCCCGGTATGTGACGGGCGGTGACCATAAAATTACCCTTGGCGCAGATGAAGAAGAGCTGCCGTAGGAGTGACATCACATTAGGGCAGCGACTGGTGCCAGACTTGAGAACAGCGGCGACAGCTTCGTTGTCGGTATGGAAGCGGATACGCTTGCGACACCACTGGTGGCCCCACGTAGCACATGCAATGCAGATGGGGTACAGCTCCTTGAACGTAATGCAGAGCGGAGTGTGTTGTGGTGACCAGGTGTCGGCGAACCAATGCGTGCCGTAAACTGCACCATGCCCAATGGCGCCAGATGCGTCAGTTTCTATCAGGATGTCGCTGGCCAGAGTCTCCTGGAGATCGAGGAAGAATGACTTGCCATTCCAGCCATCGAGTAGGTAAGACCACCAAAGAAGGTCCAGATGACATTCTGGGGAGAGACGGATGCGGTGGTAGGGCTTGGAAACGTTGCGCGTGGCATCGTACAGTCGGCGCATGAATGTACGGCCCGGCGTGATGACGCGGCTGGCAAAGTTCAGCTTGCCCAACAGCTGTTCAAGCTCCCGTAGACGGCAGGATTGGCGTTGGCGAAAGGCCAATAGTCTGGAGCGGATGTCGTCAACCTTGTCCTGTGGGAGACGAGCCACTTTCTGGACGGAGTCCAGTTCGATGCCCAGGAAGGTGAGACAGGAGGTTGGGCCGACTGTCTTTTCGTCGGCAATGGGAACTCCCAGGTAGCGGAATACGGAGAGGACTACGTTCAGACGCTGCGCACATAGCGTTGAGTTTGCAGGGCCACAGAGCCAGAAGTCGTCCAGAAGGTGCAGGAGGTGGGGAACCTGGAACAGTTCACAGCTTATCTGGCAAAGTGCGTCCGCAATGCAGTTAAGTAGGGTGCGGACCTCAGCCCGAATGGCAGTACTTTGTCATAGTAGAATTGGCCCTGCCACTGGAAACCCAACAAATGGTATGCAGTGGGTGCGACCGGGACCAGTCGAAATGCATTGTGTATGTCGAGCTTCGCCATCAAGGCACCGGTACCTTGACGTTGCAGACGCTCAATGGCATCGTCCACTGTGACATAATGTAGGGAGAACAAATCCTTGTTTATTCCATCATTGACAGACATACGGTCAGGGTAAGACAAGTGGTGAATGAGGCGGAATTTCCCGTTGTTCTTGGGCACTACGCCGAGCGGAGAGCATACAAATGGGTGGAAAGGCTGGACCGAGAAAGGACCGGCCGATTCGTCACGTCGGACCCGGTCAGCAATTTGTTGTTGTACAAACTGAGCATGTTCAATGGCAGTTGGGAGGTTGCCGGAGATGATAGATACAGAAGCACCAGAGTGGCCAATGGGGAACCCGTGTTGCAAGCCATTAAGGATAAAGTCAGAGAGGACACGATTAGAAATACGAGGCAGAAGAGTCATTAGGCGGGCTATGTACAGAGGCGTGGGGAGACTACTTCGCTGCGACGGGCTTGTCCGTCTGGCGGGGTCCCCGGCGACCGTCGTTGGTGCAGCGAGCGGCGGGATGACCTCGGTCGCCGCAGGTTGAGCAGACGTGCAAGCGTTCACAGGGCTGGTGTTGGCATGGGCGGCCACGGTTGAAGTTGAGGCAGATCTGGCGGGTGCTGCCCGCCCCGGCCAGAAATGGCTGCGTAGAACGGCTGGTGTTGGTGCCAGCTGGAGCATGTGGCCCTGCCAAATACTGTGGGCAACGGTCACGGCTGTGGTGCGTTGTGCAGCGCGGACATGATGGTCGGGGTGCCCGGATCAGGTGCAGGCTCCAGAGGCTTTGGTCGATTGCGTCCCGAGCCGAGGTTGTTGCCACCGCTGCACGGAAGGCACGGTCATACCCCAGTACAGCTGGGGTCGCAAACTGCTGGTTGGCAGTACAGATAATGTGCTGGTACGTCACCAGCTCCAGTGCTCGGAATGGCATATGTTTCAGTGCGCAGGCCATGTAGATTGTGTAGGCTTCCAGCCAGGCAGTGAAGTCGACAATGGAGCGCTTCTTAGTCACACATAAATTGAGGGACACACGCCGGCCCTCTCCGTTGGCGGTGCTGAGCTCCAAGGGCTCGGACCCTGCGCCCACATTCTCTGGGAGAAGATCCTCCAGCTCAATATATTCGCCGCGTGTGATTTTGTCAAGCAACTTACGCGGGACCGTGGGAACAATAGAGCTGGACTCACGAGTGTTCGCCATGGGCGCTGCGATCGGAGGCAGCGCGGGTTGCATGAGGGAAATGTCCATGGGGCCGGAGTCGACCTGCGGCGGGTGATGGGTGACGGTGTTGGACGCGGTTTGGACCACATCTGCCACTGAGGGGACCGCCGCCTGAGCATGGCCGTCCGGATCCTGGCGAGCTGAAATTCGCTCCTCAAGGCGCTCGACTCGAGCCAGCAGGGGGTGCAGGGCCGTCGACACGGCCGCCGTAACGGAACGTGGATCTAGGCCAGTTGTGAGTAAGCTGGCCGGCTGGGGAACGGCGGACGGGATATCGTCCTGCTCCGCACGAGCATTGCCGGAACGATCCGCACGGGCATTGCCGGAACGATCGGCCGCATGGTCCGCAGGGGCTCGATTTGGAGTGTCGGCATACGGGGACGACGAGGCGCGCCTGCGACTGGAACGCCTGGGCCCGGGAGCCGACTGCTTACGTGCACGGGGCATCTCCGTGAGCTGTGGTAAACCTTGAGATTGAGGTTGAGAAAGAAATCCACTGCCAATGCGGACAAAGCAAGAACTGAAGTCAGGAACAGTGGACTTCGGAGAACAATGAGCGTGTGAGAGTTTGTTGGGAACAGAGCATGCGCCTTCTGTGTTAACATATTTTTGCGCGTGCGCAAAAAATCATTTCAATGATCATGGCAGATCCTTCTCATCGCCTTTTCTATACAGGATTGACACCCTATGGAATCGCCTTCCTCCAGCTCTTACACCAATTTCAGATTTACAAGAATTTAAGTGCGAGCTCTATCATTGCACATCACAGTACCAATTTCTATGTAAAAGTACCACTTGAATGTTTACTATAGCAACAAAGACGACTAATTGGCAGTAATTGCACTGTAAGCATTTCCTAAATGTTGACATGTACGAGAAAAATGTGAAACGATGATTGCAAGGTACACAACAAAAAGAAAAGAGGATTTGTTCAGAACTACTTGGACCCCGTCATCAATATTTTCGCTTATTTTTCGACAATTTGGGCTTAGACTTTGGATAACAACGCGTGCACTGGAGGTGATAGAACTTGGTGCGATGGAAGGTAAGGCATAGAACGACAACTAACCATGAGGAATGCATTGTCCAAGGAAGGGCATGGCCAGCAATCGAGGACATCTGAGAGTTGTAATTTTTGTACTCCTCAGAGGTGTGATTTTTGGCCTGCTGGGCCAAGCAAAAGGAAGCCTTCTGCCAAAAAAACTGAAGAAATTGATTGTTGTTTGATCCTTTGGTGTAATCATTGTAGCTAGTTGAAGCTAGTTGCTGTTTGGAGCAGAAACACTGAAATTGACTATATTCTGCATGTACTCATGCATGTACTCATGTACTCAGGCATGCAGTCTCACTCGTATCTTGGCTGTTTTTCTGGAATGGATGCTGCTCTGCGGCCCTTGGTGAACATTACCTACGCTTATGGAGCAGCTGAAATGGACCACTGGTATGTCGGGCTCCTGGTTTGAAAGTGGACAGTCGACTTTTGTGCCTTGAAAAAGGAGCAGAGAGCGACAACGGTACGTCTGTAGCTTATTTTTGAGTGCTCCTCGTACATTTTGATGGTGATAGTCAGTGCAGCAGTGGGTGTACAGTTTTGTTGTGGATTCTTTACTTGTTTTGTCCCGTACCTATGTCAGTATCGTGATGGTGGAGTGGACAGGGTAATTTTCTTCCTCTAGGCTTCGTTCGGCCGACTTTGCTTAGTCTTTGTACTCGTTGAAAAGTGATGCTGAAAAGGGTTCGATTCGCAAAATTATGTTGAATTTGAATGTGTGTGACGACGTGCGATTGCTGGCTATGTTAATCCTTTTGTTGGTTTTGCTCGTCACCGCTCTCGGCTTTCGCAAGCTCTTCTCTTTTTCTCTCCGCTGCCTGGCTATTCTCTAAAGGGAGGTCGATCGTGACAGTCGCCTTTTCTACAGGACTTTGCGTGGGCAGCACGACTACCTGGGAGGTTCAAATCAGTCACTGTTCTTTGCAATAATGTATTTTGAACGAGGACGCGTACAGTACTTGTAAATCTCCACGATGCGGTGGATACTCTAGCGTTGAGCTGGAGGTGAGGGAACTACGATCTCCGCTTGGCGAGCGATCACCGAGGTAAGCGATCTCGGCCATTTTTCAAAATGGAACTAATTCCGAGTACCTGGTTATTTTCTTGTGCGTTGCGCTGCTCTTGCCTGTGCATTGTGACAAGATGTTTTATTTCGATGCAGCGTGGCATCAGTCAGAATCACCGAACCCAACCATCGCTCTTGAAATCCGCTCTAAATCTCTAAATCTCTAAATCTAGATCTAGACCTTTCAGCTATTAGTCAACTACTGTAAAACCTGTAACTAACGACCGCCCCTTGGTGCCCGGAAAAGTGGTCTTTAGTGGCAGGTGGTCTTTAGTTAGAGGTTCGCACCGCGCGACCATGTATGGATCCCATTATATGATATGTATGTCAAAATGCAGATAATACAATCCCCCACCACTTGCGCACTGACATTAGAGAGGTTGTGCATAACGAAAATTCGTAACTTAGACGAAGTCTGGGCACGAGTTACGAAAAAGGAAAGGAACTAACTAACTTTCGCGAGGCCGATCGCGAAACTTGAAGATCTTACGTTTTGAACTTTCGTTTCTTTCTCGCAAGCTTCTGTATACATGTACATGTAGCTGTGTTGATGCACATGGTGTCAAGATTTTTTCGCCATGGCCTTTTCAAGTCGTTCTGCGAGTTCTTCCTACTTGGCATCCTGTGGAGCTGATGGATCTCTTTCCCGCTCTCTCAGCGATCCTCTGTCACCTGGACAGCGCTCGGCTAGTTCTGTCAGTTCTGGAAGTCCTGTCAGTGCTCGCTACGCCCTGTGACAAATTATTCTGCTGAATCCCCGCAGCAGAATTCTGCCACTTCGGCATCTTCGTCTTCCCCTGCGACGTCTCAGCGAAGGACATTTGATCTCGCGATGGACCTGGCCCTTCTCAGGCAGCTTCGTTCTCACGACCAACCGTTTCGACGAGGGTCTCCAGCCATGGAGATCGTTGCCGGTGAGCTGGAAAACTTGAGCCCAACTCAGTTCGGTGGTGTGCCTACACGTGGGCCATGGGCCGGAGTACAGACTTGATTCAAAAAATTGTTCACCACGCACGCAAACAGCGGAAAAGTACTCGAAAGGGTCACCATGGTAACACTACGTTTTTCGTTGAGCACAACAGATTTTAGAAAGGAAGAGGACATATGGAATCGAGTTAAGAGCAACTCTCCACCACTGTAACTAGATACTATATACTATATACTGTATATAGTATCTAGTTACAGTGGTGGAGAGTTGCTCTTAACTCGATTCCATATGTCCTCTTCCTTTCTACTTTTATTATTGGCTCAATACCCGAGTTTCAAACAACAGATTTTCTTTACGAATTTTCGTCACTTCCAGATGGCTCAGATTCCGAAAGATCTTTACGAATTTTCGTTATGCACAACCTCTCTATTCTTCTTTCAGATCACACAACACTTGGAGAAAGAGAAAAAAAGTTGTTTATACACCGGAAGCGATACGACCTTTTGACCCGTATGTCGACTCACTGGGTTTCCAGAGCAGTGCTGGCCTGGCCAGGCAGTGGACTAGTCACTATCAACTCCATCCTCATCTGTGTGCGACTACACTGGCAACTGGTATCAGTGTGTAGATCTACAGTGGAAACTCAGTCGCTCCGACTTGGATGTAGTGTAGCGTAAACTGTACTGGAGTCTGGTGTGTACCAGTACGTGATGCGGCGATGTTGCGAGTTTTCGCACCTTCACTGTAGACTATTATCCGCCATCGTATCCTGGCCTGTGTTCCGTTCGATCAAAGAGCGCTTTGGATGCGCTCTCCAAGACGTTTCCTATCATGTTTGTTCTTGACAGCACTTGAAATATTGACAGGTGTAGTGCAGTCCACACTGATTCCACAGTAAAAATGAGACTGCGTTCATTTGTCCAGCTGTAGTATCGAAACGACCATGGAAAATCATCACAATGTCGAGAAGGAGCTTCGAGCAATGTTTGATTTGCTACATCGCGGTCGCTAGTTACGGGTCAAAATTCGACATTGGGACAAGAAAAGGCGGTCGCTAGTCGCGTTCAGCAGGTAGTCGCTAGTCACAGTGCATTTTGATTGTGAGACCGTCCGTGCCTGACGAAGTACCAGGCGAAGTACCAGGCCGGTCGCT